CGGCGGTGGCGGCGGTGGCGGCGGTGCCGCGCGGCTCGGGATTGTGGGACGCGCTGGCCAGCAGGTGGCAGCAGCAGCAGGCCGCGGCGGCGTCCAAGCCGCGCAGCGTGGACCCCACCCCCGAGCCGGACCCCGAACGCGGGGACGAGGCCGCCGAGAGTCCGGAGCCGCAGGAGTCCGACCCCGCGGCCGGCTTCAAGTGGGGCGTCCTCACCCACAAACTGGCCGAGATGAGGGTGAAGGCCGCGCCCAAGGGCGACTAGCTGGCCGGCCACACTGGGCGCCCGCTCCTCCCAACCTCCATAAAAGCCCTGGCCCGACACCCCGTGTGACTGCGTGCTCTTGTCCGGATATCAGGAAAGGCTGCTTTGGGGTGGGCGTCCTCAAGCGGGGTCCAGATGGAGGGGTCCTCACCTCCTTCCCCCACAAACATGCAGGGGGGAAATGAGCAGAGATAGCCCGGGTATCGGGATGGATTGTGCTCGATGGCGCCTTCGTACGACTTTCCGGGAAGCTGGGCGCCCCAGCGGACAGGCTCCGTCGCCCTGACCAGTCCCATTTAATTCAACAAACGTTGCCTGTGGCCATGCTGTGAGCGCGGTCACTTGTAGTAGGGAAAAGTCAGCGATTGAGAGGGAATTCAGACTGCCAGGGGGTCCCACACAAGATGACAAATTGAGGCACAAACATGGGGCTGCACTTGGGCACTCAGAGGGGGGAGGCAGGCTGGGGACTCCAGGGATGCTTCTTGAAGGAGAGCGCATGTGGTCTTAGAAGGATGAGTGGGAGAAAGGGAAGGTAGCCCAGGCAACGGAGGAGGGGCGTGAACAAAGTCTTAGAGGTACGAACGTGTGAGGAACACGGGTGCCCTTGTGTGTCCTTGAAGGTGAAGGAGGCAGTAGCACGATGTGAGGCCGCGGGCTGGCAAAATACCTGGTTTGAAGGGTCCTTTCGTTTAGTGTCAATGTCGGATTCTCCACATCTCAGCGCTTCATACCCAGTGACCACAAGGGGGCAGCAAAGCTCCGCGAATGGGGCCTTTCGGCGGCCGCGGACCCCAGATTTCTGAAGCAGACCTCGCCCCAGGACTTCCCAAGCGTGTCATTTATTCCCAGCTTCCAGCTCTCGTTTGGATCGACCTGGGGGTCGGTGGAGGAGATGTTCGTAGTGGTGTTAGTACTAATCCGGTAGCAGCCAAAGCAACTACCGTTTATGGAGCACTTCCCATATGCCAGGCACTTTGCCACGCGCGGTACGACGGTCTCAAATACTTTACCTCCGACCCCTTGCCCTTCTAGCAACAGAGGCGTGCGGCCGTGGTCCAGGCCGTCTAAGCGCTTGCCCAGGGCCCCACGGCCGGCCTGGAGCCTCCGCTCCGGATCCCACGCGCTTCACCGCGCAGACCCGCTCTCCCCCTTTCTCGACATCCGCTCCCCAATCCAAACCCACGACGCATTTAAATAACGTTTTAACTTTATTCAGCAGGTGTGCTCATCTCCCACCTCAGTCCTCACTCCCCAGACAGGGCCTCCACAGGGGCCACCAGGCCGCTCCCTTCCCCTCCG